GTATTAACTGGTCTTCCTTGTAGGCATAAGGATATTATCCTATTACTGAGAGCACTGTAGTTCAGGACAGATCTTGAAACATTCTTTTTGATGATGAATGCCATGCCATTCCTCTTCAAATTGTCATTCTTGGCATAGTAGATCATATGGTTGTCTGATTCAGAATGGCCAAAATTTGTCCATTTCAGCTCACTCATGCCTCGAATATCAATCTTTATGCATTCCATATAATTTTTGACAACTTCCAATTTTCTTAGATTTGTACTTCATACATTCCATGTTCTGATTATTAATGGATGTTTGTAGCTGTTTCTCTTCAATTTGAGTCATGCCATGTTAGCAAATGGAGGTCTCAAAAGCTTTACTTTATCTGTATCAGTTAGATTGGTTCTACTTGGATGATGCAGCTCTTTCCCAGTTGTATTTTGAAAGCTTTCTGACCTAAGGGGCTCATCCTCCTGCACTGTATCGTACAGTGTTTCAGGCTATTCATAAAGTTTGCCCAATAATGTTTCAGACAGTGTTTCTCTGTTATTCATAAGGATAAGGTTTTCCCTGTCCTGTTCTTTGAGTAGTGGATGGCCTCTTCCTTCCTCCTAGTCTGTCTCAGTCTGTAAGCTGTGTATAAACCTGTGCACCATGTGTAACCATGCTGGCCTTTGAAACACCAGTGGCACAACCTCAAGTCTCACACCAACACTCAAGCCACCACAGTAATACAGACTGACAGACAAATTTGTCTCCCTTTGCTGTTCGAAACCTCTCTGCCTTCCCCTTGCCTGGATCCCTGCTGCTGTTGCTCACACTGTCTTCCACCTAGCTTGGCTTTTTATCCCCTACTTTCCCACCTCTTACAGGTGGGGCCTGGGTACCTCCCCTTGCCTGGATCCCTGCCACTGCTGCTTGCTCTATCTTATCTCCCTGGCTTGGCTTTTCCTTTCCCTCGCTTTCCCATATCCACCCAGAGGTTCCTTGGAAGAGAGGCCTGGTGATCTATTTCTAAAAAGTCAGCCATTGAAAAACTTTTTGGAGCACAGTTCTACTCTGATACACATGGAATCACCATGATTTGAAGCTGACTCCATGATAATGGGTTTGTTTGTTTGTTTTAATAAATCCCCTCATAGGAGCTGAAAATGTACAGATTTGCTTTTTCAGCCATCCTTAGAGCTAGACTGTAGGCCCATGACCTAGGTGCCATCAATCAAGTAAACCTGCCCTACACACTGAAGAAGTGGAGTGGGACCCAGCTAATCCATGCTAGTGATGGTGGTGGGAGTGGTGGCAACTACATCCAGGCTTCAGTTAGGGCCATATTTCTGGCAGTAACATCTGGCGTCCACTCAGTGGATAATGGAGTTGCAAGTCATGGGTTCTCTGCTTAGCAACAGTGAAAGTAATACCTTCAGTGGACTAGCTCTGCTTCCTCGTTTTGCCTGGTGATTTTATTAGTTACTCTGGCTGTGTAACAACTTACCCCAAAACTTAACAGCTTATACAAAACAAACATACATTATCTCACAGTTTCTGTGGGTTGAGCATCTAGGTGTGGCTTGGCTGGGTCCCCTGCTCAGGGTCTCTTACAACCTGTCATCAAAGTGTCTGCTAGAACTGTGGTCACCACAAGGCTTGACTGGGGAAGGGCTACTTCCAAGATCACTTTAGTGTTTGCTGATATGTTTAGGTTCCTTACAAACTGTTGGCTAGAGACCTTTCTCTGTTCCTGTGGGTCTCTCCATAGTTCAGCTCACAGCATCAGAGTGAGAGAGCTTCTAGAGAGGAAGGGGTTGAGAGAGACAAACAAAAAAGAAACCACAGTGTTTTGTAGCCTAATCTCAGAAGTGATATCCCATCACATTTTTTTGTATTATGTTCATTAGAAGTGAGTGGATAGTTCTAGCCAATGGTAAGGAAGGGAGAAGTCCAAGCTGCACTGAAGATATTGGTGAAAAACAAGGGTCCAGGAATTGACAGAATACCCACTGAGATGTTTCAACAAACAGATATAGCACTGGAGGTGCTAATGCATTTAGGCTGAGAAATTTGGAAGACTGCTACCTGACCAAAAAGCTGGAAGAGATCCATTTTTATGTCCATTCCAAAGAAAAGTGGTCCAACAGAGTATGGAAATTATTGAACAATATCATGAATATCTCACACAAGTAAAATTTTGCTGAAGATAATTAAAAAATTGTTGTAGCAGTATATTGACAGAGAACTACCAGAAATTCAAGTGAGATTTAGAAGAGGGAGTGGAACTAGGGATATCATTGCTGATGTCAGATGATCTTAGCTGAAAGCAAAGAATACCAGGAAGTGTTTACCTGTGTTTTGTTGACTATGCAAAGGCAGCATTCAACTGTGTAGTTCATAACAAATTATGGATTACACTTAGAAGAATAGGAATTCCATAATACTTAATTGACTCATGAGGAACCTGTGCATAGACCAAGAGGTTGTTGTTCACACAGAACACTGCATGATTTCAAAGCAGGAAAGGTACACATCAGGGATGTATCATTTCACCATACTTATTCAATCTGTATGCTGAGCAAATAATTCAAGAAGTTGGACTATATGAAGGAGAATGTGGTATCAGAATTGGAGGAAGACTCATTAACAACCTGTGATATGCACATGGCACACCCCTGCTTGCTGAAAGTGAAGATGACTTGAAGTATTTAACTGATGAAAGTCCAAGACCGTACAGCTTTCTATATGGATTACATCTCAACATAAAGTAAACAAGAATCCCCACAACTGGACTAATAAGCAATATCACAATAAATGGAGAGACAATTGTAATTGTCAGGGATTTCATTTTCCTTGGATACACGATCAACACCCATGGAAGCAGCAATCAAGAAATTAGATGGGCCAATCTACTTCAAAAGACCTCTTTGAAGTGTGAAAGAGCAAGGATGTCACTTTGAGAACTGAAATGTGCCTGACCAAGCCATGGTATTTTCAATCACCTTATATGCATGTGAAATCTGGGCAATGAATAAAGGAGGCTAAAGAAGAACTGATGCCTTTGAATTGTGGTGTTGACAAAGAATACTGAGGATACAACAGACTGCCAAAAGAATGAACAAATCTGTTTTGGAAGAAGTACAGCTAGAGTACTCCTTAGAAGTGAGAATGGCCAGATTTCTCACATACTTTGGTTGTCAGAAGGGACCATTTCCTGGAAAAGCATATCATGCTTAATAAAGTAGAAGGTCAGTGAAAAAGGCGAAGACCCTCAACAAGATGAATGGGCACAGTGGCTGCGACAATGGGCTTGAGCATAACAAATATTGTGAGGATGGTGCAGAATCAGACAGTGTTCTGTTCTCTTGTGCATAGGGTCGCTATGAGTTGGAACTGACTCAACAGCATCTAACAACAACAGGTCCAGTCCACACTCAAGGGGAGGGGATTATAGAAGGGCTTGAATAGTAGAAGGTCAAAACCACTGGGTGCTAATTTAGAAGCTGCTGACCATAGTGACCTTTGGGCACTTAGCTTTAGAATGTAGTTCTCTGTGCCCACACCAACTCTCCAGAAGATTCTTCTCTCTAGAAGATAAATAAAAACCAAGCTTATTGCTGTCCTATTGATTCTGACTCATGGTGACCCCATGTGTGCAGAGTGGAACTGCTCCATTGAATTTTCAAAGCTGTGACCTTTTGGTAGCAGATTGCCAGGCTTCTCTTCCAAGGCACTTCTGGGTAAGTTTGAACTGACCACCTTTCAGCTAGCAGCCATTTGCGCCACCCAAAAAGGGTCTCCTTCTCTAGAACATGTCATGTTAGGTGCCATTGTGTCGAATATGACTCATAGTTACGTATTACAGGCTCATAGTTACATGTGACATGCACTGCTCTATAGGGTTTTCTTGGCTATAATCTTCTCAGAAGCAGATTGCCAGGTTTTCATCCCATGAAACCACTGGATGGGTTCAAACCTACAACCTTTTCATTAACCATTATACCACCAGGGCTCTGTTGCTAGAAGATAAACCAAACCAAACTCACTGCTGTCCAGTCAGATCTGACTCATAGCAACCCCTCCTTGGGTTTCTGAGGCAGTATCACTGTGGAAGTAGAGTGCCCAGTCTTCCTAGGAGTGGCTGGTGGGTTTGAACCCCCAGCCTTCTGGTTAGCAGTCAAGTGCCTTAGGCACTATGCCACCAGAGGTAGCCCTATTCAATTTCTAATTAAAATCTGTTTACAAGTGAGAGGCCTGGCTGATGCACATGATCCGCTCTTCTAGAAGCCCTTATCAGGCCCTTGGCCTTGCCCAGTTCTGCTGCTTTTTATTTACTCTAACTTCTTCTCCATATAAATTGGTAAATATAGTAAAACAGAAAATAATACCACTCAAAGATAAATAATTAGCCATTTTTCTTCTGAGTTCTTCCCTATGCTTTTATACATGATTGAGGTCATATTGTATATATGTAATTCTATGACTTAGAAATGGCAACATTTACCTGGCTTAGAACAAGCTGCCCGTATGGAGCTCAACACTTTGGTTGTAGTAATGGGATGGGTGTGGTACTTGATAAGCTGTGTGTTCCTGTAAAGAAGTCTGATGTGAGTTTTATTTTTAAATACAGTGCCACTAATTAATTGTATTTGATGGAAAGTCATACGAGTGACTCTTCTTGAAAGTGTCTTCTCCCTTTGTTTTACCTCTAATTCAAATTCTCTGCCTTCTTTTCAGCATGAAGTAATGATTGGCCAAAGTATAATTCAAAACCCAGTGCCGTCAAGTCATTCCAATTCAAGGCAGCCCGTTAGCACAGCGTGAAACTGCCCCATTGGGCTTCCAAGTCTGTAATCTTAATGGAAGCAGACTGCCTTCTCTTTCTCCTGTAGAACCTCTGGTGGATAAGGACTGTCAACTTTTTCATTAGCAGCCAAGTGCTTTAACCACTGCCCCACCAGGGCTCCTAGCCAAGGTACACCACATGATATTTTCATGTTTAAATTAGGTGTTTTCTTCCATTTCAGGGGAAGAAGTTGCCTTACCACCTTGGGGATGATGCAGAGGAAGGGGAAGTTTCTGACGAGGACAGTGCAGATGAAATTGAAGACGAGTGCAAGTTCAGGCTCCATTATGTAAGTTACAGATTTGGCCATAGTTCTTACCCTCAATATGCTCCAGAAATGGGGAATGGGGTTCCAGCTTGCTGATTTTGGAATCCTCACAAATATGATAGCCGTAGTGCACACAAGCACTCAAATGTTTGTTGGATGAATGAGTTTTAGAGTTGGAAGGAATGTTACAAATTGACCAATCTGACCCCCTCTCAAGGGACAAATCCATTCCTATTACAAAAATCAAATTAAGGTTGAAAATGTTAGTGTCTTAGTTAGCTGGTGCTGCTGCAACACAAAATACTACAAAAAGTGGGCTTTGAAGGACAGAATTTATTTTCTTGTGGTTTCGGAATCTAGAAATCCAAATTCAGGGCATGGCTCTAGGAAGAGGTCTTTCTGCATCTGTATCATCTTCTAGTAGCTACTGGCAATCCTTGGCATGCCAGGCTTGCCACATGTGTCTGTCATCATATGACATCTTCCTCTGTGTGTGTTTTTGTGTCTGGTCTGCTGTTTTCATAACACAGAGTGATTAGGTTTAAGACCCACCTGCGCTGCAATTATCACATTAACATAACAAAAGAAAATCCTGATTTCCTAATTGTATAACATTTACAGGTAAAAGAACCAGGGCTTTAATACATATTTTGAGGTGACACAATTTAATGTACAGCAATCATTGTCTTTGCTAAAATAAGCCAGCTGCTGCTTTTCCCCGGCTAACTCTGTTGTGCCGCATGGAAAGCTGGCTTGCGGAACTCCAGCTATACATGGGCCTGTTTCTATGCGATGTCCATCCCACTCCTTGAGAAAATATTCTCTGGACCTGAAGATTCATACACTCCTTTGAGACATGAGGCTCTTTTTTTGTTTTGTTTTTAAAACCTTTTTAAAAATTTTGGTAAATATATATAACATAACATTTGCTAATTTTACATTTTTTACATATACACTGATTACATTCTTCATGTTGTGTAAGCATCACCCATAACTGCTGGCAAATTCTCCACTACTGTAAGTACAGACTTACTGCTTCCTAAACAATGAGCTCACCTGTCCCCTCCTCCCACCCCTGGTAACTTTAGTCTCTATAAATTTGCCTATTCTTATCATTTCGTATAAGTGAGATCATACAATATTTGTCCATTTGTTTTCAAGGAACATCCACGTTGTAGCATATGTCAAGATTTATTTCTCTTTATGACTAGTGTATGTATGTACCGCATTTTGTATATCCATTCATCCATCGATGGCCATTTAGCTTGTTTCCCTTTTTGGCTATTGTGCATAGTGCTGCAGTGAACATGCTTTCAAGTCTCTTGGGTACATACCTAGGAGTGGAATTGTTGGACTATGCTATGTTTAACTTTTGATGAACTGCCAAACAGTTTTCCACAGTGGCTATTATACCAATTTATATTCAGTTTTTTATGTTTCAATTTCTCAACATCCTCTCCACCATTTGTTATTTTGCATTTTTTAAATCTTAGCCATTCTAGTGGGAGTGAAGTCTTATCTCATAGTTTTGATTTGCATATCTCTCATGGCTAATGATGCTAAGCATCTTTTAATGTGTTTTTGGGCATTTGGATATCCTCTTTGGTTAAATATCTGTTCAAGTCTTTACCCATTTTTTGGTTGGGTTATTTATCTTTTTCTTGTTAAGTTGTAGAAATTTTATATCTATTTTTGGATATTAGGTCACACATGGGATTCTTTGCTGAATCTTTAATTTACTATATCTTAAACAAAGTGGCACAGAATCATTTGTCACTTGCTTGGTGCTTTCCTTTTTCTAGATCCAGGAGCCGCCTTGGCAGAAAACCATTTAGCCAGGTAATCTGAGGGAAATGGTAACCTGGAGGAGATGTAAGGCTTAAAGGGACACACCTTCTCCCAACTGGAACTAGGGTTTCTTCTCTTACTATCTTTATATCACTCATTTTATTGTCAGAATCAGTAACAACCTGAGAGTAACTCATGCTCACCATAGGTTTTTGTTTAATTGTTTTATTGTAGTAAAAATAAATGTAACAAATCTATGGTGTAGTAAATTACATAGTGTGGCTTTTCTAGCCATAAGTCTTTATAAACTCCATGGTGGAATTTGCCATGAGCAACTGAGTGGCTCCTGATTATTTAAGTATCCATCTGGTGCATTTCTTTCTTTTTTTAAATACATTTTATTGAATTATATTTTATGTACAGTGAAATACACAAAACTAAAGTGACATGGGTCAATGCATTTTTTTTTTTTTTTTTTTGGTGGTGTTCCCTCCCTTCTCCTCCCATCCCTGGCAACCAACAAAGAAAGTTTCCCTCCATATATAAACGTTTCCTTGACCCTCCATGACAATGAACTAATACTATATTTGTTCTTCTGTGATTGACTTATTTCACTTAGCGTAATGTCCTCCAAGTTCATCCATATTATGCGGTGTTTTGCAGACTCTACATTATTTTTTAGTGCTGCAAAACAGTCCATTATGGTGTATATATCATAGCTTAGTCATCTACTTTTCCACTGTAAATCTTAGAGATAAGTCCCTTCCCAGGTATGTAATTATAGGCAAATATATATTTGTTGCTATCATTTTTGTTATGTGCTTTTTCATGGTGTCAATTTCTTTGTTCCGTGTAATTTTCTATGCTGAGCTCATTTTTGTTTATGAATCATGTTATCACTTCCTTCATTGCCATTGTTTTAGTATTTGCTGAATATTTATGCTGGTCCTCTTTTTTACAGGATGGTTTATCATTTTTCTTTGAGGTTACCCTGTGTTTTCTAGCTTTCTTCCCAAGTTTAGAACAGTCCATTCTATCTGTAGTTGTCTTGACTTCTCTACCATCTAGAAGTTCTGTAATGACATAGTTTTTTTCCCCTCTTTTTGGTTTGTAGTTGTCCTCATTTGTCAATTGATGTCTCTGGTTCCTTGTTTACAGTCTTGTAGGCTGGCTTACTTTGGATACTTCCCTAGCTGCATTGGTTTCTGGGTTATATCATCTTGTGTGTTAATGGTCAATTGTTGTTGGCTGTTGTTGCTTCTCTGTCCAAAGGGCTCCTTTTAGCATTCAAGTACATTGTAAGTTCCAAGGTTGGCAGAGCATGGCAGGCTGCTGAATGACATGGCTACATGCCGGGTCCAAGTGTACCATAAGCCCCAAGGCTTCTCTTTATATACAGGAAGAAGACCATATTCCCTAAGGCAACTACTCAGCTCCTCACAGTAGATCGCTCCATGGAGTTGATTACCAGCCTCATCATGGGGAATAACTACATCCAGCTGCCCAGTCACTCAACCAGGCCCAGCCAAGTTGACACACAGACACCGCAGTTGGTTTGGGCCACTCTGCCAGGCTCAAGAGGAGCCCTGCTAGAGGCAGAAGGAGTCTCTGACTGGTGGCTGAAAATGATGTACTGTTGAGAGGAACACACTTCAGAGATGCAGGAGACAAAACCTGTTGAGAGAGAGAAGTGAAAGACATGCACTGCTGAGAGAGTGATGTGCTGCTGAGACTGCCAGCTGCTAAGTGAGATGGCTGGCTGTGAGAGACAGTACATTTTTGAACTTGAATTGTAGCCTGGTGCTTCCCTAATAAACCCCATAATCTGTGAGTTCTGTGTGGCCAATGCAGCAAATTATCAAACCCAGCAGAAAGGTGGTATGTGCTGTGGGAGGAACAGTTGGTCAAAGGGTTGGAGACAGGCAGCATGTCTGGCCTCATAGCAATAGGCCTTGGGCTACTGATGGTGATTCTGTCTTCTTCTTGTGGGGTTAGAAGAGGTCAGAAGATGTGGCCTCCCTGCCCTTTTGGCAAAACCATTTGCCAATTCAACATTTTTTACATGTACAGTTGACTTTGATTATGTCCATTATGTGGAACCATCAGCACTGTTTCCATTAACAGAAATTCAGTGCTTCCTGAAAACAGATTACCTGTTTCCACCTCCCTCCCACCTCTGATAACCACTAATAATCCTTGGTCTCTATCAGCCTATTTTATGTAAATGGGATCATATAATACTTTTTATGTCTGACTTATTTCACTCAGCATACTTTTTTTTAAGGTTCATCCATGTTGTAGCATGTGTCAGGACTTCATTTCTTTTTATGTCTGAATAATATTCCAATGTATATACCTGACCAACCAATCCACAGCCATCAAGTCAGATCCAAATCATAATGACCCCTCCTTGGGTTTTCAAGGCAGTATCACTACAGAAGTAGATTGCCCAACCTTCCTTCCAAGGAGTGGCTGGTAGGTTTGAACTGCCAGCCTTCTGGTTAGCAGTCAAATGCCTTAAGCACTAATACCTATATTGTGTTTATCTATTCATCTCTTGATGGACCTTTGGCTATTGTGAAAAGTGTTGCAGTGAACGTCAATGTACACATTTCTTGCTTTCATTTTTTTTTTTTTTTTTTTAATATATACCTAGGATTGGGGTTGCTGGATCATGTGATAGTTCTATGTTGTTTAACTTTTTGAGGAACCACCAAACTGTTTTCCATTTTGCATTTCCACCAGTGATGGATGAGATCTTAGTATTTCATAGGATTTTTTAAATAGGATTTAGAATATCATTTCTATATAAAAAAGTAATTCTTTCCAGATAGTCCTCTTGACATGAAGATTATTATTCTACAATCTAAAAATAGAAATTTTGTGGAAATGCTTCTGCATCATTGCCCTGAATTTGTTATTACATTATTAAAGACAGCCCACTCTCTACTAGTGGTCTGTGATACCTGGTCACCAGGTGCCAGAAAGGAGATTAAGGACAGGGCAAGTCTCAGTAGAAAATTCTTTCTTGACTTTAATGTACTTTAAAAAAGGGTGAAGTGGAGGAGATTTCATTTGAAGTGAAATGGAAAAATTACCATTTGTATTGATCTCTTGCCTTTTCATATTTTATATTTGTTATTGTTACGTGCCGTCGAGTCGGCCCGACTCATAGTGACCCCTCCTTGGGTTTCCGAGGCAGTATCACTATGGAAGTAGGATTGCCCAACCTT